GAAAAAATTGGTGCTGGGTCGGGGGCGGGGGTTGGAACGGGTCTTCACCAAGACCATGGTGTTTGAGCTGGCTTTTGAAGAATGCGTAGAAGTTTGGTTTGTGATAAATGGGAAAAGGGGGTAGGGAAGGCATTTTTGATAAGGGAACCAGCATCAGCGAATGGATAGATGTGATACTGGTGATAGATAGGTACTGGTGCTATTAAATATAGTACACGATCGGGGCACCTGGGTGGCTCAGTTGGTTGAGCGACTGCCTTCGGCTCGGGTCATGATCCTGGAGTCCCGGGATCGAGTCCCGCATCGGGCTTCCTGCTCGGCGGGGGGTCTGCTTCTCCCTCTGACCCTCTTCCCTCTCATGCTCTCTATCTCTCATTCTCTCTCTCTCAAATAAATAAATAAAATCTTTAAAAAAATAGTACATGATCAATTATATGCAGACATCAACAAATCCAAATGGATGTCCTAACCAAGCTGAGTGGATATCAGCCGTAGACAAACTGGCATGGATATATCATTGCATCCCACTTTGACTCTCAGCTCCAGAGGGAGGCCAGGGTGTTACAGAAATGCAAGAGTGTGGCATAGCTAATATCCATATACTAATAATAACTGACACTGAGTGCTCACCATGAGCCAGGCACTGTGCTTTGCGTGCTTTATCTTTTTTTTTTTTTTGGAAGATTTTATTTATTTCTTTGACAGAGAGAGACACAGTAAGAGAGGGAACACAAGCAGGGGGAGTGGGAGAGGGAGAAGCAGGCTTCCCGCTGAGCAGGGAGCCCGATGCCGGGCTCGATCCCAGGACCCTGGGATCATGACCTGAGCCGAAGGCAGATGCTCAATGACCGAGCCACCCAGGTGCCCCCGTGCTTTATCTTATTGAATCCTCCAACCAACCCCTCGACAGCAGATATTGTTGCCATTTCCATTTGACATTTTAAGTCACTTGTCTCAGATCAATCCCAACTAGGCTGGGATTTAAGCCTCTACAGATTCACTCCAGAGCTTATATGCTTATCCAAGGTACACTGTCCCAGGTAATGGCTAGAATGTAGGTCACCCCTCTAACACTATGGGAGCACCCAGAGAAGTAAAAATAGGTTGACCTTTCCCTTATCAACATCACTGTTTGGTTGAGGAAACAAGACTCAACCATGCAACCTCAGAAACATTGCAAGGACTGTCCCTCAGCAACATGTGACACTTGCCCAGTGGGTGGGCCTGCTATGTCATTTTGCTGAGCCGGAGTGCTCATGGAAGAAATGGAACTTGAACTTGGCCTTGAGAGGTATGGAATAGTGGGAAGAATGTGGGATTAGGATCCGAAGTGTGAGGGTTCCCTCGCTAAGAGTGTGATCTGGACCAAAGTTCTTTCCTTCAGGGTTCTTATCTGGAAAATGAGTGATGTGGATTGGATTAGACTACTAGTTCTTACCAGAAGTACCCTACTCCTAGGAGGCATTTTGGAAATTGTGAGGGCAGTTTTGGTTGTGAAAATGATTGGGGGGTGGCTCTTAGGTAGGAGCCAGGAATGACAGGTGTTCAGCACACTATGAAGAATTGTCTTCAATTGGCTCAGTCGTTAAGTGTCTGCCTTCGGCTCAGGTCATGGTCCCAGGGTCCTGGGATCGAGCCCTGCATCGGGCTCCCTGCTCAGAAAGAAGCCTGCTTCTCCCTCTCTCACTCCCCTGCTTGTGTTCCCTCTCTCGCTGTGTCTCTCTCTGTCAAATAAATAAATAAAATCTTAAAAAAAAAAAGACTTACATCTTGCCCTACCTTTAGAAGACCTCTGGACATTCATGAAAGTGAAAACTCTGTTTATAATTATCTGAGCCTAGAACATAGCATTACATCTCAAGATGAATTTTTCATGGTTTTGTTTTTACTGATTAAAGCTACACAATAAACAAAGGAAATATTGAACTTTTTTTCCCCAGAACTTTACCGTGCATTATTACCATGGTAATAGCAACTCTATTCATGTTGCTTGAGTCACTGATACCACATCCCAGGGTCATTCTGCTTCAGCTGGCTGTCCTATTCATAGTGATCCTGCACTGAGCTGCTAGCCTCTGAGAACTTCATCACGTCTTCTAACGAAGTGACGTATGAACATTTACAGACTAGAATATATATTGTTTCATTATAAATGACTTTCGTTTTTGCTTTACAACAGAGTTATGGCATAATATGTGCTATTTAAAGTACTGTTTACAGGGTGCCTGGGTGGCTCAGATGGTTAAGCGTCTGCCTTCGGCTCAGGTCATGATCCCAGAGTCCTGGGATCGAGTCCCGCATCGGGCTCCCTGCTCC